TTTTGTTTAGCCCTCAGAATGTGCTCAAAATATATTTTAATTAGTTGTCCACATTTAAAAATTGGGATTATTTCAAATAAAAATCTGGGTTTTCAACTTTATTTTGAAAAATTGGAAGATTTGAAAACACGAGGCCCACAGTTCCTCATGGCAACAAGCAGGAGCTGCAAAGAGGTACCCCTTTTCACAAGTCATGTTCTCTGCAGTCCACACCAGCCCCAAATCGTCCTGTTTTACAAAACCTGCCTAGGCATTGGACTTCGCAATAGTTATATTCAACACACACAGAAGTAACTTAGTAACTACCAAGCGTGGTAGATGTTTAGCAGGAAAAAGCACTGGGTTTTATGAGAGAGAAAAAAGAGGGGTCTTACTTTAGATGGATCAGGGAAGGTTCTACAAGTGAATTTGAGCTGGGGCAAGCTGGCAGGGCAGCAGTGGTTCAGCAGCCTCCATTTGTAAACTCCTTCATCAGGTAGGACCCAGATGCTGTCCCACATTCTACGTTGTGTAAATCTCACAATAGTCCTAGTGCTAATTATTAAGCACAAGGGGAAGTAAGAGTAAAGAGGGCGTAGTAGCCAGGAGCCATGACCTAGGAATAGTTTCCTATAGCAACACTATTAGGACAGGTACTTGTAGCCAGTAAGCCAGGAACAATAGGGAAAGTATCAGGCATGGGGTGAAAAGAACCCAGAGCTTTCTTTTTATGTTTGGAGACATGGCTGCCATGAAAAATAAGGAAGCCTGCAGAAACGAGGCCGAATTAACAACTGGATCCAGTGATAATGAGCTTTCTGGGGCACTGGTCCACAACAGCCCCACACTCTCACTGTGCTCAGCAGCTGCAGAGGCAATTTCTTCTTCTTCCCCTTATGAATGACCTGCTTTTTTCCTGACGCTGTATAGTCTTTCAGAACCAGACAATCTCATTTCTCTGCACCCTATAGATATCTTCAAAGAGAGCTCTGGGCACAAAGGAGATACATGGGGCGTGGAGAATAATATGAATACGGTCTCCAACTCAATGTTGTTATGTGGCAAATGTTCAGTTTGTAAGAGAATGTCCGAAGGGTGAGAATTCTTATTTAAGTGCCATCACAGAAATAATGTTGGTACTTCCTAATCTGATATGTTCTTACATTTTTATAATAGGTTCCATATTCACCAAAAAAGAGACCACATTTTCCAGCACTTAAAAAAAAGAAACATGGAATGGAAAACATCCTCCGGAAATCAGATTTGACAGTAGGAAAGCTTCAAATGCAGGTATTGGACAAAGGCTTTTACTTTTGTGTCTCAGAAGCATAAAGAGTCAGGCTCACCTGAATGTATAGCCCTGCTACACAGCATAGATGTAGGAAGAAATTAATGATTAGCATTAAGAAATAGTGGGAAAGCATTTTGAGAGTGGCTAAAGAAAGATTGCTAAGGACACCTATGATGATGCTATGTGCTTAATAAATATTAAATGAATTCAATTAAAATGAAGGCATATATATATGCTTCTTTTGAGAAGAAATGAGATCATCTTTACCACTGGGTGGTAAATGTGTGTTTTCAAGCTCTGTTTGCTATGACTTGAATTAGAAAACTTTGAGACTTGCAAAACATCCACCAATTCCTGAACTCATCTCTCAGGAAAAGCAACTATTCCTTTGGTTTTTGACAAGGCTTTCCAAAACATGGCTTCATTTCTTTGTATCTATCTGTCATAGGTGGATGACCTTATAGAAACAG